TCGATTAGTCTAGTGTTTATGCCATTAAGCTTGTAGGACTGATTGGATATGGTTTTGGTTTTCAAATTAAAGATTAATTAGGATTTGTATCAGAATGGGAGGAAGGATGTTCATTACCCATTTTTTTAAGGCGGGAAAAAAGGAGGGATTGTCCGACTCTTACTGACTAAAAACCACCCCGTTCCTTCTCCTGTACGTCGAGCCGGAGCCCCGGTTACCCGTTTCATTACACTTTGAAGTCTTTTAATTGCATGAAAAGCATTACCAATTAATAAATTGTTAGTGTATGCCTAGCCTCCGCTAACCGCCCTGGGAAAAAACAGATATAATGCTATGTATGCATCGCCATTATTTTGACATCATAATGAAAACTTTTCCCTATCACATGATTTATCTCACTGCGTTACTAGACAACAAAGGATATTGTTTTAAAATATTTTAGTTATTCACAATATTTCCCTTTATCTCGGACGCCATTTATTTCAATCTCAATATTTACAAACAACACTGTCTGTTCCTTACAACGAAATACTCGTAAAAGTTACATAAACAAACTGAATTCGTTGTTGACTTTCTTCTTCCGAACGTTTTAATGTTCGGTTGGAGGCCATTTTAGCATTTAATATTGCAAAAATGCAATTTTCCACCACAGGCTTTTGTACCTACTGTTTTAAGTGTGTGAAAAAAGCTTGATATTTCATGGAAGATCTGAGCATTGCTTTGATGTCGTTTGCAAATAACAGATGTTACGACTTCATAAATACAGCTTGGTTTTTGACAGAAAATGTACTTTTAAGCCTTTAAAGTCATCGCGGAGAACCTAACGGGTTACGGGGCTCCGGCTCGACGTGCAGGAGAAGGAACGGGGTGGTTTTTAGTCAGTAAGAGTCTGATACTCCTTCCCGCCTCAGTCATTCGATGATTTTCATCCTTAAAAAAGCCTTTGAAGTACCTACTAGAAGAAAAAGCTTCCCTGTCTAAAAGTACTCAATTACATACTACGTCAGTATCAGAAAGCAAGACAACTTTACTAGACTGTACAAATAGTAGATTAAATAGTGAACAAAACTTAGTTTGTACGGCCTACAGCACTTAATATCTCGAATGACTCACAATTTTCTCTAAACGGTAACAGACTGGTCGTTTATTGATTAGTTCCACTTAACATAGACATATAATTTTAGCAGCCGGTTAGTATGAATGTGTGATTTTTTGCATCGTCTCGTCGGTTCGGAAATAGCCCGTCTGGTTGGCGCGGCCTCGCGTACCTCGCTCGACTGACACCGCTGCACATTGCTACCTAGATTTTACAGAATTATATGAGTACTATGAGTTGTACTTACTAGTTGTAGTACTACTACGGGAACTCTTGTCCTCTTTACGATGTATCGAATTAATTGTGCAGATGAACAAAATTTACAAAGAGCTACTATTTGTCTTATAAATGACACTAAAATGTCAATTGAAGAGTTGGTACAAAAGCTTCAGATATACAACTTCTTCTACGATTACATTATCGAGTTTCTGGGGTTCTGTAAATAGAAATAAAAACCAACTTCCTATTAGAACGTATAAAATCCTCAAGTCTTCATTGATCCGTGTTAATGAATCATTAAAGATGAAGATTGAAGGTGTCGGAGACTCGGAGCCCAAGTGAAATCATTGTGTGATTTTTTGCGGATATATTATGCGAGTGAAAGTAGTCGGTTTATCAGATCCACGAACTATAATGTCAACTGAGTGATCAATGCAACAGCTTCTGGAGAAATTCGCTCAAATCATTGTGAAGGTGTTTCATTCTCGTGTTACTGTTTTAATTGCTTGATGAAAGGAATCAAGTGATAGTTACAGTTTTCAAAAACCTTCTTGTGAAGTGATTCACTTATAAAGAAGATATGATTCCTTTGGAAATGTCAAAGGCATCTTTTTTCTGAACTTTCTTCCTTTATCCTGGTCTTTTCCTAATTCAGGCGAAAGAAAGTAAGTTTTTTTGGGGCGAGTTTGTCCAGCTTTGGTTTAATAGCAGTATTTTACTTGAAACAACTGCCTTCTGCTCTACAAAACCCACTAAAGGTCACCAATGAATTAATTTTCATTACACACAGCCTCTTAAATTGCCTTCCTTACAATATTATACCTATAAACACGTCTTTTAACAAAGTCTGTTATACGTGCCATCTATTCACTCGTTTAATTTATTACTGGAAACTTCCTAGCTCATCCTGGCCTGTCGTCATCGTCTGTGTGCGTGTGCCACCGTGCCTTACATGGCACCCAACCATATGAGAAAGAAAGAAAGAAAGAAAAACCATTTATTTTGCTACGACACACAACAAAAATTTAGAAACACCGAAAAAGAGCCCATAGTGCGTCGCAGCGCAAAAGGCTGGAGCTCAGCTTAATACCGTGGACCGGGCACTGAGGCTCGAGCCCACGGCGCTGATTTTCAGCACCAGCCCGTTATAAGACGTACTAGCTAAACATCATATAATTCTACATATTTCTATATATATTCTATTCAACATATAATTCTGTCCATTGTTGTACCTATGCTAAATGTATTTAGTTATTTGTCCTTGTGGATGGGCAGATTTTATTTTAATTTTTTAGGGCTCTGGATGGGGAGTTTTTATACATTTTAAGCCATATACAGAACTTATAGGGTTTAAAAATATGGACTTTATAGACTTGCTTGCACCCACTGATTTCTGTATCAAATTTTTTGACGGCTGTCATTTTCAAAATCGGAATTGTTACATTCAAAATGAAATATTCTAATTCTACTTGTCTATTCCCCTTCAGCACACTTCTCAATAAAACATAATTAAAAACCGAAGAACCGAAACTCTGTATTATTTATATTTAGACCATAGAGAACGCCAATGATAATAAAAATGTGTGAATTCTCCAAATATTTTAGTGGCCCTTGACAGCCGTTCATACACTTGTTATAAACTTCCGTTGACAGTTAATTCTTAATTCGCATTCTTGGCAAGGATTTGAAACAAATTAACTATCGCGATCAACTTTATATTTCGAGACAAAACAAACAGATTTGTGTACTTTGTCGCCTACACAATAACATTTGGAATTCCAGATCCTGAGTTTTCGGTATCTTCACAGTTAAATAAACATTGTAAATTCAACGATCCTTACAACCTCCAGAATTCAAATGTGTAGGTATGTTATCTTGACCGCCTTTTTAAGGAAAATACACTTTAAAAGTTGACTGATGAATTCCACAGCAGTATTGTTTACTTTACCGAGTTTTAAATTTAATAACTACAATACAGAAATGACCTAAAGATTTCAATTCAACAAAAGGAAAACAATTTCTGTGTGTGGTACGACATTTCTGTTGGTCGTGGGCACATATGTATCGTGTTCCGTGTGAGGCTTTTATCAGAAACAAGTTTGGAAAGTTAATTCCGGTCGACGAACCCGTAAGCATTCTCCTATCGGTGTGTCGCGACGAAATGGCAGGCCTTGCTCCTCAACAGCTTGAAATTAATTTTCGAACTAAATATCACACGTGTTCGTTATGTAACCTCTTTCGATATTATTACTATTTTTTTTTTCCTTGAGAAACTTCATTAGCATTAGATTTGTTTATGGTTTTATTTTGAATCTTTCTATATTATTTTAAAAAGTTTTTGCTGCAACTTTTTTTTATTTAATTTTATTTTCACTGATAATAGAATAAATGCATATTATTCCGATAATAATAATTAATTATGCAGTTTCTCTTGATTTTGCACTTTTATATAGCGTTTGTATACCTAATGTCCAACCGCTAACACACACTATACATAATAATATGTAACAACATCTTAGTGTGGAAGAAATCGTAACTAATTATTTTCCGTTTTCGTAAACGTAAATAGTCTTTAAACCTCTTAGCTATAACAGCTTCTAAAAGCCAAGTACCAGTTGCACAAATCTAGTCCATTCGGCCATGCGTCACAGAATAAATAATTACCTACATACCCACTAACATGTATACATAGGTAAGTCTACCTACACGGAGTCGGAGCATAAACAATAGTAAACTATGGTTACAAACATGGAAGTTGTGACGTAAGAAGTCGAGTGAAGCGAACAGTTGGCAATAGGCTGATCCTGGTGAAACATCGTGCCAAAAATTTTAAACTTATTGTCATTTTTTGTCGTAAATTTGTATTTTATGGGAGCTAGACAAGTTTATTTTGCATTTAGACATATTATTTCAAAAGTAAACGTATTGGTCTTCTCTACGTTTCATAAGCAATGAAGGAAAATAATTTATATTATGTAAACTTAAACTGTAATTCCAACGCACCATTACTGCATAATTAATTACCTGTTATTAATCAAGCACTAAGCATGCACTTATTAATGCCCTTACATTAAATCTCTCCAAATGATAAACTAGGTATGAATTGCTTTGGAAAATTGGCTGCGTCCCCTTACAATGGCGTCGATGCATTCCATTTATGATGCCAATTGATTCATCGACATCTCACACAAAACAAACTTCAGTCCAATCAGTCAGCTATTGTCACTTCCTTGATCCAAGCAGTAGTTATGGATATTAAGAAAAAAAAAGTGATATTTGTGGTGTATTTGAGTAATTTGAGTTCCTAATTCTGAATTTGAAAAGTGACATTTAATCGTTATGGCGGGAATTTTTTGTTTCTTGTTTAATAATTCAAATTTTAGGTTAATAATGAATTAATAAGAGTGCTATAGCAATAATGAACTTTTGGTTGTAATAGAAAATCAATATTAGTCAATGTGTAAGTTACACAGAGCACCATTTAACCTAATCGACTGAATAATGTGTTTTTTTTTATTTTCAATACTACAAGTAACATCTGACATATCTACAAATAAATGGTTCTTATTTTAATTTGGTCTAAGTGATACGACATCTAATCATCAGAATAGACATCTATTTTGTAGAATGTCATAAAAGTGATTACTTAAGTTGATGTGAAACAAAGAAAGGATCTAAACAAACAATGAGTCCTTTATCGATGTTCAGGAAAACGAACAGACAAATGTAAGTTTTCAGAGCGTGAAATCCCACGATGCAGACTTTGTTTAACACATTGCATTTACCACACTGAATATGTATAACGATGCATTTATTATGATATCATAAGAATAAAATGTATGGTACATTTTCCTGAAGTTTGGTTATTTATAAAACAATAACATCTGATCTTGTTTTTCATGGGTCATGGTTGTAAGGTCATTCCATATACAATACAAGATCCGACTACTGCCCATCCAGGCGTACGTTCAGATGATCTAACAACCAACATCATCTTCAACCATGGCTTTCTGCCTTTCACATTCATTCCTATTCTCCATGTCTCCTGATGTTGTGAACCCTCCTTTTTTGGACAGTCCTGTGATCACTTACTAACAAACCGCCATTTTGGTAATAAAATCTCCTATTTAGTATTTAGTAGCCTACCTAATTAATGAGCTCTTGTGAAAGTGCTCGTATGTGCATAAAATATTCAATTATCAGTCGTTTATAAAGGTACATTAAACTTATGTATGTATAATTGGTTGTATAACACGTCCAAAAGAATTTCACCTTGAGTTGCGAAAGCTGTGTGCAGAATCGCTTTGTGACCTGTCAGACTGCCACACACCCGCTGTTACTTGGTTAAAATATTATCTTAACACACGATTATAATCCTTTTCTCGAAAGCCACAAGGCTTTCAATTCCATGCAATGTATCTCACGTCTCGTAAAACCTGGGTTTTCAGTAGGTACTCAAACAAACGACAGTTGGTATCGTTGGTACGAATACATAAGTAATTAAATGACGATAATAATTTTAATGGTGGAAAATACCTAAGTGTAATTAAATTGGTTAAATGTTCGTTTACGACAATTTAGATAATAAGTAGTTAAATAACAGAAAACTTGCACTTCTAGAAGGACAATTTTTAAAGTTAAAATTTATTTGGACTACAGAAACGCCCTAAATAGACTTGTATAATATTCTAATCAAAGGATCAGGCACCTTGTATTAACGGTCAATAAATCAGGTTATTCGTGTCAAAACTGGTCAATAACTTTGAAAAATACTTAATATCCTGAACTTATAAACTAACCAGTCGTAAGAAAATGAACTCAGCTAACATTTAAGTTTGGACACATGATTTAAATCGCCTGAAGCGCCACCTAGTCAGTGCAAATTCTGTTTCCACTGTTGAGTTCTTGGTTTTATCCTTGAAGAATTTTTGTGGGATATTCCCTAGTTGCTTGTGTACTTATTATCTACTCATGTTTTATTGAAGAACAATAATTATCTCTTAAGTAGGTATGTCTAAAGATTAGAAGCTTAAAATAATCAATAAAAACATGAATCAGAGTGGGTGTAACTTTACCAGTAGATTACATTTCTATTAATACCTATTTACTTATTGTTGTTATATCTACTTAATTATGAGTATCAAGTATGTAGCTACACTTAGGTAAGTAGGTACCTATGAATATTATCATTTCTTATAGCGATTATTCTGTCTACGTTTCTAAAGTCCCATTTTAATAGAAAAAACTTACAAATCTTTTTTTATAAATAGATGATTATTTTTAGTTTTTTTTTTATCGGTCTTAAAGCAAGTAAAGTAACTTATAGGTTTATACGAACCCAATGAAAGACCGAAAGATGTATAGTAGTACCTGCCGAGCCACATTTTAAAACAATTTAACCTGATTATTTTAAATAAACATGCAGTCAGGGGAAGTGTGCAAAACCTTATCTGACCATCGGCCTCCTTACCACACGTGAAAATGTGTTAATCTAACTAATTAGCCAACATAAAACCTACAACATAAAATTAACCCTACACTCCTCATAACAGAATCTATTTTTGTTAAACAGTAACTTTTGTCGGAAATATCGTCGATCTAAGTTTGGTTTTGAAAAATGTTTAATGATATGTAATTGGAAAATGCTCAAGGTACAGTATATTTCTTAATCTAGACTAGATTTAAATACGAAATAATCAAGTAAGTTAGGAAATCCAAAAATCCTATATTAAGCCTGTTTGTGACAGTATTATAAAGTTGAATCATCAATGATATGACACACAGTGTAACTTTGAATGAATAATGTCTTAAGAAATCTAGCAATGAATGAATAGTGCAATGAAATTGATATACACAATACGAATTATAAACAAAACAAATAATTTGAATTAATCAATCCGTCTTATACAAGTAGGTCGAACTCTGAACACTAAAAAGCCCCGTTACCACCAACCTTGCTCCATTTTAAAAAAAGAATGTTTAATTTTTCTTTTTCAATGTTTTTTTTACGCCCCAATGAGTTTTGTTTACGATTGGAAAACTGGCTGAATGTAAATGCATTCCGAATATGTTTACGTTTGTGAAAATTAAAACTTAAAACCATTGTGTAAGAATTATAGGAATAACAAGTCTGAATTTAATTCTCGAAACCAATCATCTATAACTAACGTACCTAATAAGTAGTACCAAAATATTTACAAATTTTATTTGTAGTTTAGTACCTACCTTACCTCATTCGGGTTCCCGATTTGGGCTTGAAAACTATATTTCACACGCTAGATAGAACGATTTTCCTCCACAACACCAATCAATCAAATCATGACAAAAATACACCAGCATTTGTCATATTTGCCAACACTGTCATGACAAAGCAAAGGAAACCTTTCTAAATGCCAACGGCTAGTGATTTAAAATATGAAATATATTTGTGTCCGTGCGATCGACACGATATAATAATGGCCCACAAATGCTAGTTCGTAAATAGACGACCCAAATTCGAGTGCACGACTGGACTGCAGAACAAAGTTGTATTCCACGGGATAGAGGACAAATATTTGGAGACGAAAGGGACACTAAAAGGGAAAATCATCCACTTCTCCCGCCTTAGGTTAGGCCAGAGGGAATGTCAGACTCTTACTGACTAAAAACCACCCCGTTCCTACTCCTGCTCTTCGAGTCAGAGCTCCGGCAACCCGTTAGGCCTTCCGCAGCTCTAGGGACTAGAAACTGATTAAGTCTTATTTTCAAATTGAACTAACTAGTGGGTGGAATATTAAGGATAGATTCTATGAAAGACCAATGAGTTTGTATTATGCTGATATGTGATAAGAGGAAAATGAAAGAAAACCTATTGCGCTATTCCTAAGTAATTTAGGCAAAGGATAGGAAACTGATGATAAAAGGTAGAAAATGTCTTATTACCGTAACCTAAGATATATTTTATAGGTCCTTAAAACGAGAGTAGCGTAAAATAATAGTTTCCAAGTTTATTACCGTTCGGTAGAAATCGCGCCATTCTCGCCAAAGCTTTCAAAACACGATTGCACAAGCTAGATTTTGATTTTAATTATCATTTAATCGTCTTAATAAGTCTAAAATAGATTTTTAATGACAACTTTCAATATTATGAATAACGTCTAGCTTTTAAAGTTCACGGTCGCTTTTGTTTAGGAGACGTAGATACTGGCTACTTTAATCCATAACTACCTGAGTGAAGCCGAGGTGAGATAATAACTAGCAGTTACATAAATAATGTCATTGTAAATTACTTATTTCACATTGAATTTGTTCAATAAAACAACTATCATACATCATACTTGCGCAAATTAATAATTCAGCAACAATTTCCAGCTGCATCGCCATGAATGTTTAATGAGATACTGAAATTCATACTTTATTGTTTCAGATCATCAGAAATGATCCATGTGGACGAAACGGATCCGGTGGGAGGTAATATTCAATGCTTTTGTTTATAAAATTAAATTCGTTCAAACAGTCCGAGTGAAGCCATTAAAAATACATCACGTGTAACGGATTTTAAATGCCGAAAATATGACGTTACTTCTGTTTTGCAGACTTTTTTCAAATTTCGAAATAAACGACCGTTACCGACCGACATGACAGTTGGGTTTGGCAGTCTATTGTTTATTTTTTCAAGATTGAAATAATAATAGTGCTTGTCTAGTCTGTAAAGAGCAGGCACAGTTTGGTTACCGTGTTGATAGGAAAATGTATAAATACTTCGTTAAACTTAATTACATAATTCGATCTGAAAATGTCGTCAGCCTTTTATCAGACATTACTCAGAATCTTGATTTACGAAGTTGTGGACTCCAGCATTTTCAAAGTCTCTTGAACTACGATGTTTATCTTAACGTAGCGATAAAAATAGCTATCAGAGATCATCTTCAATTTGAGCATTCTATGAGCGTTTCCCGCCCATCCTTTATACTGGAAGTATAAACGGCTACTCAGAACTAGAAAACCAGTACGAGCCAGTTAATCAATTCAAAACATCAACAAAATGGTCCCAACGAACTTTACAAAAAGTGGTCTAATAAAAATCGCAAAAACTCCATCCATGTCAACATTAATTAATAAATGTTAGCACTTGATTCATTCTGTTAATTTTTAGGGAACAGAGAGTATAGTTCCCTATGATCGGAAAAGGAGGATCCTCCGACCAGGCGAGGTGATCGTGCCTGGCGGGCTTTCTGCCCAACAGTTGTTCGTTGGGATTTTCTATCCGTGTTTATTTGCTTGTAAACTTTGCATGTGCGATGTAGGATTCTTGTGACGTCATCCGTTGACATGTGGCATGCGTCGCCACATCACTCCCTCCCAAGACCGGAGGTCGATCCCGCTGAGACGGCTGTCGATGCTTGAGATGAGTGGCGCCAGAGCCAGTGTAGAACGTCCCTAGTTCCAGTGGGTCGGAACCGTGCCGCTGAGTGCCCAGTGAGTCGGGTCAGCGGTGCAGGGTGAAACTCCAGTGAGTCGGAGAGATGAGCTCGCAGTGTCCCACGGTGAGTCGGGGAATAGATGCTGCGAGGGTAGGTGCGTAGTGGCCGGCATCTGCGTTGACGGGAGGAGTTGTCCTTCAGAACCGTGTGCAGAAGTGCTGTGCCTAGACGCTGGTGAGGCCGTAGGGAAGAACCAGGCTGCACAACTTCGTTGCAGGTAATGGTGGTCCCTGATGAGGCCGAGGATGCTGGTTGGCTGCGACTTGATTACCGCTCAGCGGAGAAATGATGAATGAGAGGGATGGCGATACGGATGACGGTGCTGATCAGCTCCGTGAAGTGAAGGTTGTTTCCAATCACGTCGGGGTCACCACTGTAGGGAACAGAGAGTATAGTTCCCTAAGATCGGAAAAGGAGGATCCTCCGACCAGGCGAGGTGATCGTGCCTGGCGGGCTTTCTGCCCAACAGTTGTTCGTTGGGATTTTCTATCCGTGTTTATTTGCTTGTAAACTTTGCATGTGCGATGTAGGATTCTTGTGACGTCATCCGTTGACATGTGGCATGCGTCGCCACAAATTCCTCAATATCTAGGTTACATCTAAAGTTATTTAATATTTATCATTACACATGGTAGTTAGATAAACTGACGACGGCAGAATAAAATAAAGTAAACAAACATAAGATTTTGGCAGGCGAGTGGAATCCATCTTTATTTTCGACTCGGCTGAATATTTGAAATCGTTAGTCCGATGACACGTTACATATTCGTCGTCAGTTCGTCACACGCGTCATGTGGACGGACAGTATTAAAAACTAGCCATGTTTTTGTAATCATTGTGACGGTTGTTACGTCATAAAGTTAGGTTATTTATACGGTGTCTGTACATAGATACGAAAGCATTGTTTTTCACGCCATTTTCCGAAGGCAGATTTCATTATTAACTTAAAATTGAATTCCCACTATGTTGCTTATTTATTAAACTCATTGTATTCATAGTTAGATGGCACGCTACTTCATTTACTGACACTCGCATTCTACTTGAATGTTGTGCATATATTTAATTGATGTAAATACCAGTCTGTTTCCATATTATTTTCTTATTTTTAATGTTTGTGTTTACATTGTTAATATATGCCATAATAAAAAAAAATTAATACACATCAGTGTAGCGATAGCTTTAATTTTTTTGAACTGACGTATTGCAGGTTACAGCAAAAGCATCAGCTTTCTACATACAAATTGTGGTCAATATAGTTGTGGTGCACCAAACTATGACCATTATGGTATATTGAAAACACATTTTTCATTAAATATTTTGTAAAAAGAGGCAACGCCGCATTAGGTACCTACCTTTGATGTAAGAAGAGTCAACGTGGCATATCTAGTGTTAACAAGCTTCGACATTGAATGTTCAATAAAAAAAAAAATCGTCCGAACTGACATCCACCACCTTTTTTACTAAATCCGTTAATAAAATTCAGTTTGTCAAAACCTAATCGATTGAAAGAGATTATTCATTTTGGTCTCCTTTAATACATAAGAACCTAATAAGTATATGAGTTAACATTCTTAGAACAAAAGCTTAACTAATCAATACAGCAGAACATTCACAACAGAATTCCATCAATGTCCGGTATTCAGAAATGATGGGAATCGATCCAGGTATGCTGGAATTGAGTCCTGTAGTAATATTGTCCCCTAGAGTCTAGACTCAAACATTCAGCCTTATTGTCAATACCACAGGTCTTAATCATAAGGCATTCTTGTTATGACTCATGTGTATATCCTGTGGTCCGTTCTTAAAATGGTTTTGTTACTTGTTTATGGTATAGCGTAGCATTTTTTTTTTAATTATAGCACTAGCAACCGCCTTTTGAAAAATCCTGGTAGAATTCAACAATATTGTTTTTTTTTTAATCTGGTCATAAAGTTTATATTGTAGCGTAAGTAGATTGAAAATATTTAGACCTTACTTTAGTTATTAACTTATTACTTAATAGTAATCTAGTATTGTGCAATTACTTAGATGCTTAGTGTTAATACAATTATGCAATCGATATTGACATTATTTTCGTTAAAACTGCTAGATCAACAAATCAAAGTAATTGTTACAAAACAGTTTTAGCTATTCTTAATACCTCAGCTAAATCTATCACCTAAATCTACATTCATAAGTAGGTAATCAATTATACAAAATATAATGAGTGTATGTCCGGTGCGGTACATACCTCCTTACTTGATACGTAAAAATTCATACCTACATTCCATGAACCACGAACATTTCATTTAGATCGTGAAAGAAAGGTGAATGACTTTCAACACGACACATTCAGTGTTATGGCATTTTTCAAACACACACATACAAATACTTATTACACATTCAAACAGCGGGTGTGTTGCTATACCTACATAAAAAAATAAAAAAGAAATAAACAAATACAGATAATATAATGTTTTAAATAAAATATTCCTCGATATTTCCATTCACGTTATAAATAGTTATTGTATTTATATAATTCAGAAAACAATAGATTTAATAATAGGTGTTATAGGTATTTTATTTTCCTTTGCCTCAATGAACAATATAGCCATTTTTTAAACATCTATTCACATCACATATCTAATATTGAATAGCCTTTTTTATTTGCACGATATAATTTTCACGATGTATATGCATAATAATTTTAAACTGCATTTATTACCTATACACAATAATGAAGTACTTATAATAGTTTTAATTTTCCAAAGACAGAGCTAAAGTGCATGGAATCCAGGATACGGTAACAATCGCATTCTGTCTGTATTACTATCAATCGCAGCCCATGTAGGTACTAAATAGAATACTTATTTTATTTTAAAAATTGCTTATCGTCTGAAAAGCTTTACAATAAATAATCATTTATCAATAAAGTAACTTCGATAATAACTATTATTTATCAATAACAATGAAATAAATTAAAATGTAACGTAACATATTGCGTATAAAAATGGAGACCGTAAATGAACAGACTGGACGCAAACTGCTGACTTCTTGGGGAATAACAACAATATTTACATAGCTTTGCATAGAATTTGAGCTAGTTAAAAATATGCTAACAATAAAATAGAAACACGTGCCGTTTAGCAGCCAAATATCCCCCGGGATGATACTAGGCAGAAGGTCGTCAGATCTTTGCCCGTCCGCGCCGGCTCCCATTCATAACTGTTTTATTTTTAAATTTCGTACGACGCAATAGAATTTGTGTTTTGCGTTTTTACTGCTGGTCATATTGGTCTAATCAGTATGAAATAATTTGACTGCACGGTTGGTGCGGTAGCTGGGCAACCGGCTGCCGTGTTGCGTGTCGCGGGTTCGATTCCCGCACGGAACAACCACACGTGTGTGATCCACAAAATATTGTGGATGAAAACTTGGAGATTTCAGAAATTCAGCACGTTTTGCTGTGTTTATTACTGTAGGAATCTGCATTAATTAAATGCACAAATGACAGCTTAATTATTTTACTTAGATCTTTAGACTCCACTTCTTTATTTTTTATTTTATATAAAACAGCGCAAAATTAAAATATTATCACTTATAGCCATAGATATAATAATGAATATTTCTGTGCTTATTTAATATTTCTTACTACAGCATCGTCAAACTGATTATCTAAAGGCTTTCTGTTTGTTTTACGCTTTTTTAAAGTAATCGAATCGAGACCGCATTCGGCTCACTGATTGGCCGGCTCCTATGAACCAACCAATCAGAGCGCCGGACGCAGTCTCGTTTCGATTAATTTAAAACGTAAAAAAAGACTCGTGCTAAGGCCTTTGTAACGTGCATAATTTACTTATCAAACTAAATTAATTTGATGCTTATTTTAGTGAACCAGTTAGGACCTGTTTAAAAATAAAAGTGTTGATGTTTTTGTCTACCTGATTATGATAACGTAACCTCGATAACCTCTCTTTAATCAAACATAAAGAAAAACGTATTACCTAC